TAATAGGTTACATTAAAGAACATCCAATGTTTACATTTTCACCTTCATTACTGTACATGTATAGTCTCAGTAATATATTGTATTATTTTTTTTAACTACCGGTATTTTATTTGCATGTCATTTCTTAAACACTTGCCATCCTCTGCTAAGCTATATTTGCCATCCGTACTGCTGGCATATTGATTGGGGTGTCCTGCCAGTCGCTTAGTCTGTGGGAAGAAATGGGCACAGCTTGAAGATGTCTGGCAGAGCGGAGGCAGACTATTAGCAGCGACAGTGGCGATAGCCTGCCTGCTCACTATGATTTTGCACCACCACTGTAGTCCAAGCTGCTAGTGTGAGAGCACAGGGTGACAATGATGCAGTGATTCATTGAAGAGGAAATAGCATTGTCACCCTATTCAAATAAGTAATAATTCAAGTAAAATACTGGCAGGATCAAAAGGCAATTAAACTATGTTACAAGGGGCAGTTAGATAAATAAGATTTCATGCATTTGTGACTTTTTTTAATACTCCAGCATCGGATTTTTGCTAAAAGATTCATGAAGACTTCTGTTGTTGACCTCTTTCTATTAATGCTAGCTGCCTGACTATTCTGCTGACTCAGTGGCTTTGGTACTTTTACTCACCTGGAACAAGCATGCAGATGGGAAACGTTTGAGGCATGCTCAACCTGGCATGTTCAGGTCACCGTCAGCACCAATTCAGTCTACGACAATAGATCTTGGGACTTATGAAAAACTATTTTAGAATAAATAATACTATGCAGCCGTATGGCTGCATACTCCCATAGAGAAGAACAGGCTGTTGCGTACAAATCACACGCAGCCCCTGTCCTTCCCGGGAGCAGCCCAATACGGCCGTGCACGCAGCACGCATCTGTACGGACCGGCTGTTAGTCATGTGAATGAGGGCTTAGACTATCCCTTTATCAAATGCTTATGTGGTTGAGTCCAAAGATATGTTTTCAATGCAATACCATGGCCAAGCAGCCATCATTGCTATTAGACTGCCCAGCTTGGTTGACCCTATGAGGAGTTTCAGCTTTTAATGGCCTAATATGAAGCATCACTTGAACATGCAAAGCCATCCCACTTAGAAAAAAAAAGTTGCCTTTGATAAGGTTCTTATTAATGTGAATGTAGATACTGTTTTTTTATGTACACAAACTCGCTTGACTGTATCAGGGAACAAGAAAAGTAAAAAAATTAAAAATTAAACCTGAAGTTAACACTTTAGTCATAAGTGGGAAGTCAGATATGGATTGTAAGGTAAACATTCCTTTGAAGATCTTCTCCATAAATCAGTCATCTTTATAAAAGAAAGTAACCCATATGCACCTGTTCACGTTCCCTGGGAAGGAAGTAGCCACTGGACTAGTCTATCAAGTAAAGCATTCATTTCTTTTGCCACCTATTTGTTGCTAATTTAGATCAGATTAAAAAGAACTTTCTCACTTCTCAACAGCTGTCAAGTCACTTTGAGATGGGATATTGCTTGAAACAGCAGCTGCACTGTAAGCCATGTTGCTCCTGATTGTTTCTAGAGAGATTTAAGATTTATTTCTTTCTTGAACTTTATGTGTGTAGTGCTTTTTTACTTTTTATTCTTTTTACCAATCCTTTATATGTGGGCTTGAAAATGCTATTCTAATTTCCAGTCATGTAGCATGAAGGGACTATATAGTTGTTCAGTATGGATTTCACTTTCTTATTTATTATAATCAGGGCAAAAAACTTAAATATGAAATATTGCATATTAATATTATGTAGTATTCTGTCCAGCCAGCAGATTTCCCTTTCCTGCTTACTCAAGGAGTCATCACAGCAGTGCCTCCTACATTATTAGACTGCTCGGTATTGGTTTTAGAGGTTTTAATCATACAACAGTAACTTCATAGCAATTTTCCTCTACCGGGCTTTCAATTCACCTAACCCATACTGCTCAGGGAATTCTCTGTCAATAAATGTGAATAGTTTGACACATATATAGTGTATATGTATAGAGAGAGATATATGTATACATATTATAAAGCACAGGTTCTTAGCTGTGTAGCTCCATATGAATTAAATTCAACTAATACAATTGTGTTTTATTTTTTTTTATGATTTTGTAGTCTCTTCTTGGGATTGGTTTTGGACCCAGTTCAGCTAAACGAAGAATAAGCCAAGGGAGCATATTCAACTTCCATATCCGTGGTAGAGACCTTTTCTCAGAGACAGAGTTTGCAGATGATGAAGTGAGCAATGCCAGTGAGGGTCTCAGAGGGTCTCTTCTTGTTCCACGTGCTGGAAGACGCCACAGCATCCAAAGTCAAACAAGTGCACATTCATATCCAAACACTCCGGGATTCACACAGAACGGCAAGAGGAACAGTTCAGTGGATTGTAATGGAGTTGTGTCTTTGGTTGGAGGAGGATCTTACTCAAACCCAACTTCCCCGGGAGGACTACTGTTGCCTTCTGTAATTGTGGAGAAGTCCGGAACTGAGGAAAATGTAAGTTGGAATATTTTATCACTGGTATACCACAACAACTGTACGCCATAGCTGTATACTTTGTAGGTGATTTAAAAAAAAACATTACTTAGAATCATTGTGCTGATACTTTTTTGTAAGCAATCAGCAGAAGAGGACTTTTTGTATTTGTAGCCTGTACTACCGTGTAAGGGTTCTGCAGGAAAAACAGTACTTATACATTTAATAAGACATTTTCTATATGATCACAATAGTGCAGTGATATTGAAATCTTTATTACTAATGGTAAATTAAATTAAAGAGAGAAATGGGACAAATATTAGTGCTGCAGATGAACCCTCTTCTTTCCACTAGCTTATGCTAAATTATCTGTGCTGTAAACATTGTAAGTGGAATCTGATTGATCCTTATGGCTGGCTTTTCTTTGACCTGTTGACCTTTGTTGTAAATCTTCCCTATTTTGCATTAGTGTGCTTTGTAATGTGTTTTCAAAGTGACTTTGATTAAACTGGTGATGCCAGGAAAGAGCCTGATGACCTGAATGAGGCAGTAACATGTAGCAGAGAGCAGAGGTAAAATTGGCAGTGATGTTTGTAGGTACAACATACTGCAGCTGTGTTTTCTACAGATACAGAGCTTGTTCAGGTGGCTAAAATGTGGAGCAAAAATTATAAGCTCTAAGGGAGGGCCTAGATCATTTTGTTGCTCACAGGCTCTCTGCAGGCTGTGTTCACTCAGCATGTACAGCATATGTGTCAAAATCAAGGCCCGCATGATAATATTTGATTATCATTAGATCTGGCCCGCCGGTATATTGCCCACACTCAGGGCCGTAGGAAGGCCGAGGCGGCCTCACTCGCTTTGGGCGGTTGGGGGGGGGGGGCGCCACGGCCCGAAGATTTGTTAGTGTGCCCTGCCCGCCAGAAGCTTTCTCACGCTGCCCGCAGCGATCTTCATAGGAGTGAGGAGCCCGAGAGCTGTCGCTGGCCAGAGGACTGCATTACACAGCAGGCAGCCTGGGAGCAGCACAGAGCCACAAGGGAGGTGTCTCCCCTTCTCCATCACTTCTTCTGTATCTGTGACACCTGTGTACCTCCTGCCTCCACACTAGTATGTAATCTAATAGTTTTATCTCTATTTAAATTATAGTAAAAATTATGTGGGGGGATGCTCAATGGGGACAGTATGGACCTTGAACACAACCCGGCCGGCTCAGTTTGTTGTAGGGCGGGAGGGGGCGTGGCAGACCATTTAAATCAATAGCACTGCAGCCATGCCCCCCGCCCTCAGTGTGATCGCTGGCACCCGAACACGTGGCACATTTGTGCATGCGTTCCGGTCCAGTGCTATCTGCAAAAATGCTGCATGCACTACGTTTTGCAGATCGCACTGAACCAGCACTACTGTGCCACGCATTCAGGTGCCGGCGATCGCACTGTGGGCGGTGTGTGTGGCTGCAGTGCCATTGATTTCAATGCTTTGCCACATCCCCTCCTCCCCCAAAACAAAGTGACCTGGCCGGGTTGCGTTCTAGTGCGTTCCAGAGGCCGAACGCACTGGAACGCACTCTTTATGGTGTTATTGGGCCCTCAGGCTCAAGCACTGCCTTCGTGTGCAGTGTGTCATGTCATTTTCTCTCCGGCACGTTAGCTTGCAAGAGCGCGCATAGCTGAGCGTGCCGAGATGAAAAATTTCATCTTCAGCCAATCAGCTCGTGTGTATAAACCCGGGCGTCAAGATGCGAAGGCCATTCGGTTGTTATAGGCCGCCGTATTATACTGTGTGTATGTCATTTTCTCTCCGGCACGTCAGCTTGCAAGAGCGCGCATAGCTGAGCGTGCCGAGATGAAAAATGTCATCTTCAGCCAATCAGCTCGCGTGTATAAACCCGCGCGTCAAGATGCGAAGGCCATTCGGTTGTTATAGGCCGCCGTATTATACTGTGTGATATACTGTATAGACCACGGCATTATACTGTGTGTTATGCAATTATACAATTTGTTTTCAATAAACACTGAACCAGCCCGGCCCTCGACTTGGAACATTTTAAAAATGTTGTCACACTGTGTATTTGAGTTTGACACTCCTGCTATAGAGTGTCACTTGAGTGACAACCCTGAGTTTGTTGGGGTTGATGACTTGAAATCAAAGATGGCGGTGCCCAGCAGAAGTTTCAGGGCTTTTGGATGTCTACACAAGGGAGGCCTTTACAAGTAAATAACAAGCATAAAATACATTAAATGAACTTACAATTTTATGGGAAGATTTTTGTTGAAATAAATGGTCTGGTGATAGGGTCTTTTAAAAGCCAACAATTTGCCTGAATGTTAAACAGAAGTACTAAACTGCCTGAATCTAAGGCTTTCCTTGGATCCACATAAGCATCCGTCAAAGGATTCTAATGGTAGTAGGCTGACCAACCCCTGCATGACATTAGGGTGGAGATTTATTTCTAGCACATAATTATCTTTTTGCTGTATTTATATTTTAGCAGTGCAAATAAACTTCCATGTTACCATAAATTGAAAATATAATGAATATTATGCTGATCATGTTCACCTGTATATTATACAAAGTCACCTAATCCCTTTAAAGTTGCTTTTAAAGCGGTACTAAAACTAAGAGAAGACTAAACCTAAGAGAAATAATTTACTGCTGTATTCAAGACAAAAGATTGCTTTTTTAGATACCGATAGCATCTCCTTCATCTGCAGGCCCGCTAATTACTTCTCTGTAATGACATACACTGAAAGGGCGTTTCAGATGTTTCTTAATGCTGTTTGCTGCAAATTAGCAGGTATTCATGATAGAATGATGCCTCTAAAATGCAGCGTTGTCAGTTCAAGCAAACTGCCTTCACAAGGCCATGTGAAAATCAGGACAGGGGCTAAGAGCCACAACCTCTCAATGCGTGCACAGCCGCTGCCAATTTCTCTTCCCCAGCAGGTGGCTGGGTGCAAAATAGCAAATTCAAAAAGTGTTTCTTTATTTCTTTTCAGCTGAATGCTTGGCTCTGGTTAACATTTTACTTCTCATCCTCTGATCCTCACAGGGAACACATGAGAAAAATAAACTACATAGCAAGCGCCGTACAGAGGTTACTAGTACTGGCATACCAATTAAATTCTTCACAATCGGAGAAGTTCGCCTATGTCAGTTTGTACATTATTAAGGTTAATTATCTAGGAATATCATTACCTTTATTACTCACTGAAGACAGCTAATGACAAAGGAAGTTGGACAGTGTGTAAGATTTAAGGGTTTTTTATTTTGCTTTGTTTTTCTTGTTATATTTCATTGATCATGGAAATTTGTGTTAAAGGGTAGAACATTTAGAAATACACATTTTATTCTTGCCGCCACTGTCTAAATTAGTGTTTTTTTTTATCGGAGATATACTTAATAATGAACAATCTAATTTATTCCTCACAGCATTTCCTTAACTTAAGCAAATGTTTACATAAGAGATGAAAAGCAGCCCCATTTCAATGCTCTCCCGCAGCAGACCAGTTAGGTCACGCACTAAGTGCCTCTACCTGCAAATGAAGGAAAATTAACCGTAACAAATGTAGTTACAGAAACAGAAATAGAATGATAGCACAGAGTGTATAAACACCGTTGTATTGTATACTGTATAGACCACGGTATTATACTGTGTGATATACTGTATAGACCACAGTATTATACTGTGTGATATACTGTATAGACTACGGTATTATACTGTGTGATATACTGTATAGACCACGGTATTATACTGTGTGATATACTGTATAGACCACGGTATTATACTGTGTGATATACTGTATAGACCACGGTATTATACTGTGTGATATACTGTATAGACCACGGTATTATACTAATCCAAAAATCACTGCGCTAGGAGTGAAAGTCTAAATAACTAGTTGGACCAGCCGCAACAATGTGTGTGGGTAAACTTAATATATGGCAAGTGAGTTGCGCTCGGTCTAGAAACAAATTGAAAGTAAATGTTCAATGTGTACTCTTAATGTGTGGAAAATTATTTAACAAGTGTAAATACCGGGAATCAGTATCTCGGCTTGTAGTAAAAGATCCATCTGTGAAAATTTTTTTTTTTTAAAGTGTAGATACCGGTATCTACACTTTAAAAAAATTATTTTTTCACAGATGCATCTTTTACTACAAGCCGAGATACTGATTCCCAGTATTTACACTTGTTAAATAATTTTCCACACATTAAGAGTACACATTGAACATTTACTTTCAATTTGTTTCTAGACCGAGCGCAACTCACTTGCGATATATCACGGTATTATACTGTGTGATATACTGTATAGACCACGGTATTATACTGTGTTATATACTGTATAGACCACGGCATTATACTGCGTGATATACTGTATAGAGCACGGCATTATACTGTGTGTTATACAATTATACAATTTGTTTTCAATAAACACTGAACCAGCCCGGCCCTCGACTTGGAACATTTAAACTTTTTTGGCCCACTGTGTATTTGAGTTTGACACTCCTGAGTTAGTGACTTTGTAACCTCCAGCTGTACATGCAATGTCAGGTATTGTAAACTAATGGCTTTTCTTGGCTCTTCTTATGTTATTACAGTTCTGTCCTCATTGGCTTCCCTCTACTAGATCTATTAATACATTGCAGCTCAGATAACTTTACCCTACTCGAGAGTAGTTTGATTCTCTTCTGAGAAAATCTCTGGTGATTGCCTGTTACACCTACTGCGGATTTGTTCTTCTTTCTCAAAAACCTGTCTTCACAGTTGCCCTCCAAACTCCACAGCTGTAATCTGGTAATAGAACTGCATGGTGAGGGTGTAAGAAATGAAGTTACACAGGAGGATCCTGGAAACTCTGAGTGAAATATTGTCCTAGACAACAAAAACAAATGTATAGACAGCATAAATATTGTCCTAGACAACATAAACAAATGTATAGACAGTATAAACAAACGTATAAACCATATAATTTCAAAGAGATTAACTAGGAAATATGTTTTAAACGTTCTTGTAAATCAGCTTCAACTGCCCTTTAATAAATTGCATGCTGCCCAACAGGGCATTCCTTCACTTCATTCCAGTGTGCTTTCTTAGTTATAATGTGCTGGAAAAACAGGCTGTCATCAAGGACCTAGCTGCCTGATGACCACTGCTGAGACAACCTGCCTTCATGACTGATGTAATTAGAATCAGCCCAAAGAAACTGCACATTTGTCTTTAGCCCCACATCCCTGTATCCCCACATGCCTTAGTACCAGCCGTGAAAGGCTTCATGTCTTTATTAACTAATCAATCAATCTGCACAGCAGGTGAATTCACAGATTAACTTGACGCTGACTCGAGTATAAGCCGAGGGGGGGCACTTTTCAGCCAAAAAAATGGGCTGAAAATCTCGGCTTATACTCGAGTATATACGGTAACCAGATTCTAATGATGGCAGGCAAGGAGGTGGGCTGTCTAAGGACAAGTCATTAGGTCTCCAGGTTCTTGACAACAAACTTGACTTTCTAGACAAGTAGTAGGAACACGGGTCACTGTGCTCACATTTGTGGCAAAGTCTCTATTCTGGGAAGGGGACTCTTCAGCCAGTTCCTGTCCCTCCCCATCTAGGATTGTCATACTGACACAGGCAAGACCGTAACAGCAAAAGGCTTTTTTGTTGTTATGGGCCAAAGCTGATTCTTCCAAAGAGTGCATCTAAAAAAAGCATATTTCTTGATCGTACATCACGGGACACAGGGAGGCAAATTCTTTAACCACTGCATCATGCGGCTGTCTTCAGGTGATTGTACACTAGCAAATCAATCAAAGCAGCAGGATAGCCCTGCATAACCCCTACCGCTCACGGCCTGCCTCAGTTTTTTGCTAGTGTCCTTAAGTGATGGACACCAACTTCTCTCAGTGCTGAGAGAACTACTCCCCTTTACAATATTTTTCTCTGAGCTTTTTGGCAAGAAAAAAATTAGTATTTGAGAAAATATTAGTCCCTACTTCCTTCTTTTCTCCTTCATTTTTCCCTAATCTCTGCCATTTGTGTCACATGTTTTCCTTTTAGAAACCTCCATCATATCTCAGAAGTTTTCTTTTTTAAACCAAACCTCTTTAACTTGTCACGTGTTCTTTGGATTCCTCCTACAGAGCCTTTGTAACTTGTCAGATAGTCTCCTCATTCCTACTCCAAACCTCTGTCACTTTTATCAGATATTTGTCTCATTCCTCCACCACTTATCACTAGGGCGCCCCAGAAGAAGGGACCCTGCGTGGCCCCAACATGTTAGTTTTATGACATAATGTGACTTCAATAAATACGATAATAGTTCACACTGTCATTCTGTGGAGTGCTGGTGATTTCTTGCTTTGTGATCTGGAGGAACACGGCACCATCCGTGATATCACCACCACAAAAAATATGAAGAGGTCCACACGCTGTATGGAGTGCAATCGACTCATGACAACACATCGTTCCTTCACCAGACTTCTATCAGTTGTCAGATGTTCTCTGGATTCCTTCTCCTAACCTCTTTTTGCCCAAGCACTTAAAGTCATTTCAGCTGGATTCACCTCTCTCCACTCCCCTGAACTTCCTGCCCAGTACAAGATCGCAAGGGACAGCACAGTCTCCAGTAGATGTCCATCTACTAGCTTGGAGCTGGAGAAAGGGAGGAAGGGGGAGGAGAGTGGCTAGCCTTGCTGTGCCTGTGTGTATGTGGAGACAAACACAGCTTACTAGCACACACAAGGGAGGCACCAAAGGACCCTGCTAGAGAAAGGAGCCACCCTAAATACGCATATCAGGGCCAGTGCTCAGGGAACCAGACAATTATGCAGGAAACTAAAACTTTTAAAAATCAAGGAGCAGCATTCATTGTTAGTGATGTCAGCATTTGAAATAGCTTAAAACCCTTTTGACTTTGTTATCACTTTAATTCGACATGTATGATAATTTTGTCTCTCGCTGACCTTTGCTGTGGTTAAGACATTGTAACATAGTAACCTAAAAAACAAGCTTTGATAAAAGAGTGTTTTATGTAGTACAATGAATAGAATACTATTCCGATGCTGTTATTGGAAAGCCAAAGACTTTTATTTATCTCGACTGAATAATACAGATGCAATCCCAAAGTTAAACAATAAATACTGTTTTTGAAAGTGACAGCGGAGACTAACTTTAAGTGCTTTGTCAAAAACAATCGATACTTTTCCAACTAACGCACCACAATAGGATTACAAAGCATAGCAGCACAATAAGACATGGAAACATGTTAGAGAAAATGTTTATTTCCTATATAATGAACAGAAAACAGAACTGCATGGATAACTGTCCAAAGTGGGAATTACCACTACAATAGTTGCTAAAATACATAGGATATACGCAGTCTTTGTAGTTTTGAGTCAATTGTACTTACATAATATGGCAGTTCAGATCACAATGTTAATACACAATGTCTAGTAACCCATACTAGCCAATCAAAATGTAGGATGCTGAGGTTAAAGTGAATTTGTCATGAAATTAAAAAAAAACTTCTGCAGGTATCAAGTAATGGCACCTAGAGGCACATACCACCAGAATCTCCTGGCACAGCTGAATCTCAGACCATTCTGACAAGCAAAGTTTAGGCACTTCCTGCTAGCTTGCTCACCCTTTCCTGCACATGCCTATTGGCCAATGAGATTGCCCCTTATATACATGGGCCAGGGGAATGCTGTGTGTGGGGTTCTGGGGGCAAGATTTGCCTCTTAGTACCGGTGTGAAATCGGCCATGATAGAAGTACTTAAACCTACATCAATACTTTTGTTTTATTATTGGTTGCTGGGGTTTATTGTACTTTGCAGATTGTTATTTATCTTGTTTGAATTTATCTTGTTGGATCAGCTCTTTTTTTCCTAAAAACACAGATGCAGATATATTTCAAATAAAAAAGCATAATTTGTTCAATTTCAGAGTAAATAATAACCTGATTCCTATTAAAACTATGGAATGTTATAAGATTGTACTAAGATCTGACCTATTCCTGGCAAATGCTCATTCTGAGTTAAATGTGAGCTTCTATAAATGTGAATAGTATTACTACAATTTGATTCGATTATTGTC